AAAAAAACAAAAAAACAAAAAAACAAAAAAAAAAAAATAAAAAAAAATGCCTGTCTTTCATGAAATCACTCTTTCATCGGTCCGCTCTTTCACAGAGAGGTTCTTCATCGTCTTGCGGTCATTTTGACTGTGTACAGAGTGATCGGGATGGGCTGACCCACTTCTACGGACTGGACTTTAGCAGCATGTTCATACGGACAAACATGCATAAGAGCATGCACACGACCTGTCTACCCCTCCCTACACTGGCACCGGCGGACAAACAGATGGCAACAGAGAGCACTACCTGCCTTGTAGAACGTTTGACAAACATGTTCCGGCTACATACACAAGAACAGGCGCTGTCACGCCCAGCAAGAGCCATGGCAAGTGTATAGAAGCCAGAACGAGGAAGTAGAAAAATGGGCGCCCTCTGCCATCAAAGCTTAAGCAACAAGCAGCCAATCACATGAATACACCACCATCTACACACGGGACCCATAGGAAAGGAAGAGAGGAATACAGCAGAGGGAGAGAGAAGGAAATAGCCAGACAGGCTATGGGGCCCTGCAACATTTGACAGACAATTCCCAAGGTGCGCTCCATCTGCTCTTGGATGGTCTACATCACACAGCACTGAATGACTTGCACTTAACCCGTTCTGGCCAGACAGTCAGTCAGCAGCAGAGGGTGAATTGGTGTATGAAGAGTATGTATCAGCAACAGAGAGTACGGTGTGATCCAAGTCGAAAGGCACGTGGCAGTCACATGGCATTTAGAGGGAGTTCTGGCTGGGCCGGCAGAGGAAAACAGAAGGCAGCTAGAGAAAAGAGCCCTACCGCGGTGATAACAATGCACACAGACATGCGGCACTGGCTGAAATGGCACGAGTATGGTCGCAACACAGAGGCACGCTAAAGTATAACCAACGCGCGACATACACACACAAAAGAAAGGGCATGGTGGCGCAGCGACCACACCCCACATGATAGGCTACCGCAGAGAAGAGAGACCACACCAATGACAAGACATGCCAAACTAGCCTCCGCCCACCCACACACAGAGCACATCATAAAACACGGTGTCAGTGCGATAAGCGAATGATGCAATGGAGCAGATGCCCTCGCATCCCCACGCAAACATCATTGCAGCTTCACCACGGCAACACCATCGGTTCACCACACTCTGACGACCGGGGACGGAAGGGGTCGTTAGGGGTTGAAGGAAAGGGAAACATTGCGGCTCCACTCATCCATCGCCACATGAAAAATGCCATTGGCTATGTATGGCTTGTCGCCATCCATTGCAAAACCAGAAATACTCTCATATATCAGCCCATTCACTGCGGCCCCATATGTGCCTGTCTTGACGAAAACCACTGGCAATGGCCGGCGAAAAAAAGGCCTACGGGCTGCACTGCACAGCAGGGCTAGAAGGGCTTGGAGGGCTCGGAATCCCCGCTCAGGGTGGAGGAGGCCTGAGAGCCGATTGACAAACACACGAAATCATGCAACGACGGTGTGCAGTGCAGGCAGCCCATTCTCTGGCTCACCCGAGGAAAGCGACGGGCTTCTCGACGCTGCAGCCGCCAGCCGCAAAGGACGTGTACCTGCACACAACCAACAAGCCACACGCAGAGGCATACAGCCAAGGAGAGAAGCTTTCTCTGTTGTGTGGCGATTGATTTGATGTGTGTGCGGAGTGCAGTCACCTCATTGAGTGTGGGAAGGGCAGAGTGTATGTGGATGCCTCGTCCAGCTCTCTCAGCTGGTCCTTGGTCAGTTTGAAGTCCAACGCTGCACACATAGCAGTAGGGGCGGGGAGGGGCGGTGTGGTGTGCATGGTGTCTGTCTGTCTGCCTGTTTGTCTGTACGGCTGACTGACCTCCCAGGTTGTCCTCCAGCTGTTGGACGGTGCGTGCGCCGATCAGGGGGGATGTACAGGCACGGCAGGTCCAGTTGATGGCCACCTGCACCCACACAGACATGACCGACCGATGCCGGTACCTCAATGTGTGTGATTGTCTACCTGTGCTGGCGTCTTGCCGATTTCCTTGGCGACCTTCTCGACCGTAGACAGGATCTTCCAGTTCTGCTCCTCCTTCACCTGCACACACAGGCGCGCAAAAGAGACCAGAGACAGTCATGAACACAGAGGCCTCCACGCCTCCTGTCTCGTCCG